TATATGCCCATAAGTCATTATAGAATGATATTGCTTGATAATTTATGATCCTAAAGGGTCACACTAACAAAAACTTGATGCAAATACGTTATTTATAAGAATTTGATTCTTGATAAATAAATATATATCTTGTAATTAATTGTAAATTATTTATTTCATGGAAATATTAATTTACAATGTTAAGTATCAAAATATATCATAATTTATGATTTATTATGTCATGTACATCTTTTTGGAGCAAAAGGGTTTTTTTTGTCTTATATGGATTTATATGTTTTATAAGTTATAAAAATTAGAAGAGTTTTTATAGAACTAGCTTTTTATTTCTATAATTATTCAAGGAGACCTTAAATGCAATAGCCCAATTTTCAGAAAATTTTTAAACTTTTAGTTTGATAAACATCATCCATAAGGAGTACAAAAATTCCATTACATAGCCATATTATTTTAATATTCAGAGTACAAAAAACTAAATGTGAAAACACTGGAGAATGCACGCCACGCCATCAAGCTAGGTCCTTTCCCTTATTAATAGGAGTACCTGAAACATTTAATAAAATTGTAAGCACAAGTTTAGTGAGTTTTCCAAACACACAAATCATATAATCATATAATACTATGCACACACATATATACATACAAGTTTTCCATGGACTCCCTCCATGGTCTTCAATAGAATGCCATAGGCTACCCCTATGGTCTTGTATCCCCTTGTCATAGGCTCCTCCCATGGTCGTGCCAAATGCCATGGGCTCCTCCCATGGTCTGCACATAAGTCTGCATATAATTCCACTATCAAACAATTACATATTCCCATACAAAACATTTCATAATCAATAATGGGCCGACCTTGGTGCCTTCGACCCATGAGTGTGGTGAGAAGACTCACCTCAATAACGGACGATAACTGACTAGGTCCCGGCTCCGAATATCAGCTCTACTCAACCTCTAAATAGAAACAATTCCTTAAATTCAACTCTAAATTCCCTAAAACCCCTTGGAAGTTAAACTTGGTCAAGGACTAAAGTCAAAGGTCAAATTCAACGGTCCGAGTTGACCCAACTCGTCGAGTTTTACTTCAACTCGTCGAGTTCACCCCTTAACTACACGAATCGGGAAAAATTTTATCAACTCGTCAATTCACTAATGAGCTTGTTGAGTTGGCCAGAAATCCAACAACTTAATGCATTTAGTTGTTTCCATCAAATCTAGTAAATTTAAATCTCAGATCTCCTCCAAATTGATGTCTAAAATGGTAAAGTTTCCAACTTTACCCTTAAAAACCACCACAATGAACCAAAACCTAAATCCTACACTCAATAGAGTGAGGCTTAACCAGTTAAGCCCTTACACTCTCAAAACATAGTCCCAAAAATAATCTGGCATCCCAAGGATGGAATATCACGTAATCTTTCCAACTTTACGTCCATGCATGCTAGAAAGCAACCCTAGGACCCAAAATGGCTTAATAAAGGACTTACTACATATATTTGGGACTTAGGACATAGCAAAGCTTGCATCATTAAGCCAAGAGAGGTCATGAAAGGGTCAGCTCTAACATAATAAACCCTAGAACCCTCAACCTTTTGGATAACCCAACCATAAACCCAAAAATCAAGCTAAAACATCCAACAAAGAGATCTAGAAGATAACAACACAAGGTATCGACTTTATACCTCAAACGAACTGCAACAAATGGAGAGTCTTTGGATCCAAATCCTTCCTTCCAAACTAGGCACCTTCAACTTCAAACTCCTTCCCAAGAATACTAAAAACCAACTCTCCAAGCTCACCACAAGCTCACACACTCAATCTTGGAGGATAATGTACGAAATTAGGGTTTCTAGATAGAAGAGGCTGGTAAGGAGGCCAACCAAGCAATTTAAGGTCTCTAAATAGGGTGCAAAATCCTAAAATTAGGATTTTATTCAAATATGTCAACTCGCCGAGTTAGGACACCCCGAATCGCCGAGTTGGCCTAAAAAAGCCCGCGGCCAAAAACCCCTTCGACACGACAAATTAGAGCTTCCAACTCGTCGAGCCCCCACTGAAAATACAACAAATTAGGGAATTTAGCTAATACCAGATCCAAGAAATACATTAAAGAAGAAATAGGACTTGCTTTTAATTAACTTATTCAACACACCACGCTCTTAGAAATCAAGGCTCGTTAATTTGACAAAGCATGGGTCCTAAAGGTTAACACCCATGGGATAAAGGGATAAAGTTAAGAGCATATAAACTAGGTATCTCTCTTCCTTCCTTGACTAAGCCAAAACCAAGAAAATTGAGCCTTACCTTCGCCATATTCTCTCTTGTTTTGTCTCTTATAGTGTTAAGATCAAATTAAGAAGAATTTTGATACTTTACTTGAAACTCTCCTTTAGATCAAAATCCTTGTTTTGTTTTTAAAGGCTTAAGAAAGTTTTTTATTAGAAGATGAAGACTAGTATCTTATCAAGTTGGATAAATATTGGTGGCTACTTTTAGAGAGCTTCTTCATTGGAGCTTAAAGGTATCTTTATCAACTTCCTAATTACCAAAAGGAACCAAAGTCTTCGAAGGTTGTTTTACTTTCTTCCTCTTTGGTTATGTTTAATCTTTCTAAGTCTTGCAAAATGATCTTTTGGTGGGAATAAAACTAGTTTTATTTTGTTCAAATCTTAAGTCTTTCGTTGCTATGTGTATATTTTTGAAACAATTTTTGAATAAAAACCCAACACTAAGGCCTTACTAATAGTTGAACACCACATGGGATTGATCGCAATTTATATCTCATCTTCAGCATGATGTATAAGATAAATGAATAATTCATACCACGCCTTTAGTAACAATTATAGCTTTAAGCTCCTGGAATTGGTTGTTGGTTAAATGACACCCTTCATTTGTTCTTAGGGGAAGTAGCTCGTTGCTAGACGCCATCTACTATCTATGTCGATATGTAATAAATCTTGTGCAAGTGAGAGATTTTTGGATCTATATGCTCAAGAATCATTATTAAATGATATTGCTAATAACATATGATCTTATAGGATCACACCTTTAACAAGTTGACACATTTTGAATGTTTATTATTAATATGATTATTAATAAATATTATCAACTCTTGTACTTAATTAGAGAAGAATTATTATTTTATGAAAATAATAATGAAAGAAAGGAAAACTAGTTATTATATAATATGGTATACTTTAATAACTTGTGTATAATGTTCTGGACACATTGGTTACCTTTCGGTTTAATTAATTGGTTGCTTCTAACTAGTTGGAGAAACTAGAAAATCATTTTGTCTCTTACTTTAAATAACGCCAATACTTTATAAGTTAATAATGTGTAGACTTTGAATTTGCATGAGATTATATAAAAGAGAGTGATCCTTGCAAAATCACTACTCTTTCTCTTAAAAAAAACTCCCAAAACTGTGGCTTTCATTCTTTCCCTCCCTTGCTCCCTTTTGAAGCATGTTGCACGTTCAAGTAATGCAAAAGTGCTTATCAATAATTCTTAATTGCGTTAAGAAATCAAGGATTAAAAAGTACTTCAAATACAAGATAGTAACTAGTATTCCAAGTGCCTTAATCTTGATGGTAGATACATTATAAATAAGATCAAACTTCTTGTTCTTTTGCTATCTTCATCAACTCCCTAATTCCAAGTGGGATCAAAGGATTCAAATGTTATCTCCTTAACCTCATATGGTTGTTATTATGTTTTTACTTTATGTATTTGGATCCTCTTGGTGGTTTTGTTATAATGATCTAAAAGTAAAGTAGTTATTACAAAAAGCTTTCGTTTGTCGTTGTAATCGTTTTTTTTTTTTAAATTGTTTTTAGCTTATCAAAAACCATCAAAGAAAACCATGTTCATCGAAAATGAGATTGATGAAATCAATGAGTTTAGTAGACACTTGGTTAATTTATTTTCAATATAATCCAACCATGGATATGTGTAAAAATAGCAACCTACTTTGCAAAAAATATTCAAATAACATGTTTCTACATTTCAACCAAACTACGTTGCTATTTTTAGGTTTATTTTCTTACTTTTCAGAAAAAATGTTCATTTATTATTTTTGTAATTTTTTCGGTTACATATAATAGTTAAATGGAATTACTTCAAAATTTACATGTTTATATTTTCATATTAATCTGATTGGCTAAATAAAATGGAGCTTCATAGTCATCTAGTACTATCAACATAATTCTATTTGAACATGTTTAATCCATAATGAGTTCCTAAATTATCATGAGGCTAAAAAAAATTTAAAACTTTGGGAACTAGTTCGGGTAAATTAAAGAATTTTGTATAAAAAATCTTTATTTAAAAGATCATTTATTACTATCTTACTTTCTTTTATATAAGTTTAAAAGTTGATAATTGTTAGTACCACAATTGGAATCCGATAAAACAAACATTGGTTTACTAAAGTTGTTCAGACTGTCACTCAAAGGCAATAGAAATATGGGTAACGAATTATAGTGGTGGGTGGGTGGAGGGTATGGATATGGAGGAGGAAGTGGGACATTCTCAAAATGGTTTTGTGATTGGTGCCACCCCCACATATGGTGTATCTGTTGAGACATGATTTGGTTGGAGACACAAAGAGCCTCGAACCGGTCTGCAAAATTATGGGGAATCGGGTAATATCCGGGAAGGGCTTGGGGTTGGGCTTGTTGTGGACCATGGGTGGGCTCCTCGTCGGACTCTTCATCCACATGTATCCCGTCATCATCTTGATCTTGGAGCGCATCCTCATTGACTGATTGAGTGATGGTCCTCGCGAGTCTCCACTGAGTGCGATCGTGGGAGGTGAAGTTGGAGACTTGAGAGTCGGGAAGAATACGATACCCGACCCCTTGAGGACAAAACCATGTATAATGTCAAGACCGCGGGCTACAAGGGTGAAAAATCCTCCAATGCAAATATCACCGGTAGTTTTGGTTCTCATGAGTGCGCATTTATAGAAAAAGAACGAGGCAAAATCTAGGATTGGTGGGTTTTCACGTCGTATCATCCACCAAAGGAAAAAAAATCTCCATTTTCGTGACTTGACCGGCTTCTTTGCGGGCAAAAACAGTGCACACTAAGATACGATGGGCAATACGGAGGCATGGGTGAACGATGGAGGTTGACTTATTGCGACCGGCACATGAAAAGATCCCACCAGTGATTTCCGTCCAAAAGGTCTCATAGTTGAACTCGGCATGCAGGGAGTCGAAACTCTCGAATGTGTTCGAGGAAGGTAAGCTCAAGATTTCATTTATCCTTGCAAAATCAATATGTGCCCGATCCCCCAAAAGTTGGAATGCAGCTCTTTTTCTCTCGCTGTCTAACCCGCAGTCAGCAAGGAAATCCCTAGTAGGGAGCTTGTAAGTGTGTGCCATGAGATTTTGAAGGTTTTCCCACCCGATGTTACGAAACAATTGGGTGACCCCCTCAAGAACCCCTAATGAAATGAGCGTGGGTTTGCACACAAACTTGGTTGAGGCAACTTTCGTAGGCAAACTTCTGTTATAGTTTTCAGTTGCCTTTGCATCCCGAAACCTTGAAATGTTTGGTTCCGCATTTTGAGCTCTAACGGGGGCCTTGCCTCGGGCGGTAGCCGAGCGTTTTCTAGATGTGGACATGATCAACCTGCAAAGAAATTAAAAACTACACGGACCAACAATCCCAACAAGTGATATTTCAATTCAAATCACCAATCGACTCCCTATGGACCTCTGAAATGATTCAAAAATCAATGCAAGAAGCATTTACTGGACTCAATTGATGCAATACCATATAAATTGTTGTCCTAAAACATGCATATTGTTCAATCAAAGACAAGGAAAGAATGTACCCGTTGGTGATCACGAAATTTGAAAGTTAAAAATTTGCGCGTGAAAATCCTGGATTTGAAAATCTTGCAACACTCCACCCCAAGCTTAAAGCTTTTCTCAATACCCCGTGAGAAGCACTTTACCATGAAAACCCGAGAAATCCGACAACAGCTTGAGATTCTCGAAAAAATTTCCGGCGAGTTTTGAGGGATATTTTTAATGGGGTTTGTAGCCTTGACCAAAAGGAGCACAATGGTTGTGTCGGAATCATGAGAGGTGGCATGAGTTGGCCGGAAAGTGGCGAGATGGTGGTGGTTGCGCCCGGAAATCTGGAAACAAATCGAACCATTTTTTCGGTGGGGTTTGTAGAGCACGAAAAATGGGAGAGAACGGCAGTGGTTTCACGTAATTCTGACGGGCGGTTTGACGGGAAATCGAGTTTTAGTGTTGAAGGTGGGGGAGTTTTAATCGAGGTTAGAAGAAAAAGAAGAGAAGAAAGGAGAAGAAAGGGTCGGATGTTGCTTTTTGTGAGTTTGATTTGTGGTCAATCCTTCGAGTACACGTGGAAAATCCTTCAAGTACACGTGGTCCATTTGTGTCTTGTTGAAACATCTCAATTTTCGCCCGTTGACCAAAACGAGTATCGGGGCTTAGAATTCTACACTCTTATATTGTAATAAGGAAGAATAAGAAATGTTAAGTACACTCTTATATTGGCAGATTCAACCTTCTTTGTGCATCTCGACTCGGCTTGCATTCATCCTCCATCAAGATCTTATGCATACAAGTAGAGGGGCTCAACCCTTTGATATCCGCTATCGTCCAACCCATTGCTTCTTTATGTTCCTTCAACACCTTGAGGAGCTTCTCTTCTTCACATTCGGTTAAGTGAGTTGAAATGATGACCGGAAGAGTCTCGATGTTTCCCAAGTACGCATACTTCAAGTGTTGAGGAAGGACCTCTAATTCCAATTCCGGTGGTTGAACAAGGGAGGGTGGCAATCTTGTGTGAGTTTGAGGTAATTCAATTTGCTTCACACTGAATTGAGTGGTTTTCTTGATCTCCAAATTGTTAACCAACCTTTTCACTTCTAGGTCTAATGACTAAAGCTTCAACTTCTTGGCTAATTTACCACAATCAAACCCTTTGCTCAAAATCATCTCCAACATGTCACCATTAGACAACTTGAACAATTCTTGGGTCAATGGTTCAACAACATCAACAAAGCATAAGGACGAAACATCACTAGGATATCTCATAGCATCATAAATGTTAAAACTTATTGTTTCACCATCAAACTCCATCGTCAAGCTTGCTGCATACACATCAATCTTTTTTCTATCCGTCTTCAAAAATGGTCTCTCGAGTAAAATTAGATCCGACTTGGAGGACACTTGTTCTTCTAGATCAATCACATAGAAATCCACCGGGAAAACCAATTGGTTCACTTGCACCAAAACACCTCTAGGAAAGACACTCAATTTATCCGCAAGTGAGATTAGAACACCGATTTCACTTAGAGGTACGACATTCAATGATTCATACACCGAATAGGGCATAACATTGATAGAATCACCAAGATCAAGCATGACACTACTAAAATTGACATCCCCAATCTTGCAAGGGACCGTAAACATTCCCAGGTCTTTGCATTTGGGTGGAAGTTTCCTTTGTAAAACCGCGGATGCATTTTCATTCATTGAGATTTTCTCATTTCCCTTCAACTTCCTCTTGTTGGTGGAAAGCTCCTTCAAAAATTTTGAATATCTAGGAATTTATTTGATTGCATCAAGCAAAGGGATGTTTAATTCCACCTTTCGGAAGGTGTCCAAAATCTCTTTCTCCTCCATATTCTTCTTTGAATTTGCAAGTTGGGAGGGAAATGGCAGTTGAGTGGCTATTGGTTTCACTAGAGGGGTGGTCTTCATTGGGACTCCAGTTTGTGTATCATTCTTGACTATATGATCTTCAATGGGAATGACCTCTATTTCTTCCTCTTCTTCCCTAGGCTTCTTCTTTGAACTACTTTCTCCGACTTTTTTGCCACTTCTCAAGGTCACTGCATTGACATTTGGGTTCTTTTCTGTTTGAGAAGGCAATTTCCCACGGGACTCCAACTTGCATGTAAATTAGCATGTAAATGGACCACTAAGGCCCAATTAACATGTAAAGGATAATTTCGGCCCATTATGCATGTAAATGGGTCACTAAGGCCCAATAGACATGTAATGAATGAATTTGGCCAAATAAACATGCAAATGTATCATGAAGGCCCAATAGGCACGTAAAGTGAGTATTAAGCCCAATAAACATGAAGTCGTTGTATTTTGTTTTGTTTGTTACGTCATTTTCATTTTAGTCTGAATACTCATAAAAAAGACATAAAAAAGAGGTCAATTTTGTTATAATGTTATTTTTAGTCCGTTAAGTTCTAACTTTACAACTCGGACTCATTTTATAGAAAGTTGACACTTTATGTCCCTTAAGACCTAAATTAAACATTAAAGGACTTATTGCACATAAAATAATTTTTTTGGTCCATTTTGGTTAAAAATAACATTTTAGCCCATTAATTTATAAAAATTTGTATTTTCGGCCCAAGTGTCTAATAATTGACAGATGTGGCCCAAAGATACATATATTGACATTTTCAGCCCTTATTTGCAGAAATTTACGTTTTCAGCCCTTATTTGATATAAATGACAATTTCAGCCCAAAGTTCGTAAAATTAACATTTTTGGCCCAATTTTGAAATAAGTGTCATTTTCAGCCCCTAAAATCGTAAGTTTTCATTTTTAGCTCGAGTTTTAATTAAATAACATTTTAGTCCATAAAAATTGATATTTTTGCAATTTAGGCCCAAGAAACCGTAAGGCCCATAACGCAAAATTTTACACTTTTAGTCCTTTTAACATCAAGAATAACATAAAAACTCATTCTTAAGATAAAATGACCCTTTTAGACCTTATAGTAACCGTATATGTCATAAAGGTCCCAACATTTTTGTTTATTTGGCAAACATAGTCCTTAAACACGGTTTTTGTTAGTATATTCAACAAGTATACATGTTTAACACTTTCATCTTTAAAGAATGTTGCTTAGAGTGTTTTAGTTTACAAATATCAACAATTTTTACTATAGTTTTCGAGGCCTAGGATATTTAATCATATTTTCACAAGAAAAACACACATAACATGCACAATACTTAGATCTATCACATAAACACTTGTATACTCCCCCAAAACATATAAAAATCGAAAACAAGGGGGTGTGAACTCACTTTGCTTGTTGATTTCAGTTTTTGGTGAAGAAAAGGGAGAGGTTTCGGCCCTAGCAAGATTTCCATGAGTAGATCTCGAGCTTACGAGGATTCTAAGAGTATGATCATAAAAAAATGTTTAGGAGGAGTGATCTAGCATAAGAATGGAGTTATACATCTTGGATATGTAGTGACTTACCAAGGATAGATGATCTTTGTTGAAAAATCCTCTTGAAACACACTCTAAATATTCAAAAATTTAGAGGAAGATGAAGGAGTTCTTGAGAGCTTTCTTGGGAGATTTTTGAATGAACATGAGATGGTGAGAGGGGATGGTTCGGCCGAGAAGAACAAGGGAGAAGAGAGAGAGAGAATGAGGTGATGTCGCATGGAAATCCACCATGCAATAATGATTTATCTAATGCTAGTTAATCCTCTTATTTTTTTACACACACACACACACACACACACATATATATATATATATATATATATATATATATATATATAGTTATATATTGGGCCGAGAATTTTGGGCTAAGAGAGATAAGAATGAAGTGATTTATGCCCATTCTAGGCTTTGATCGAAATTCGATGAAGCCTAAAATATTTTTCGGCCCATTGGGCCCTTATGAAGGCTCACGACCCAATGAAGCCCAATTAAAAGGTTTACGACCTATTAGGGCATTTGAAATCATTTATTGCCCATCATGGCCCATTAGAGATAAAATGCACTATTCTAGGCCCACATAGCCCAAATGCTAAAAATTTCATGAATGTGGGTCCAATTAGAACTCAATTAGGGTTCCTAGGCCCAAAATAGTAAATTTTAAGGCTTATTGATGTTATTATAGAACATGGTTTCGCATGCGGAATTAAAGATCGCACAATGAACATGGTGATTTGGGTGTTTAAGAGATGTATTGAATATGTATGGTGTTACATAAAGGGACATAGATCCAAATCTACATAAATAACACACACTTACACACTCAACTTTTACACCTCTCAAGCACACCTATACAAGTGAACTAAAACCACCTTATATAGAGGTATTTACATGTCTCTCTCTCACTCTCTATCTCATGAATCAATAGGCTAATGCACCACATGTAAGTGGGTTTTACAAAACTCAACACATTACAAAGTCAAACATGGATAACTTTGCACCCTAACGTTCTCCCCCTCAAAGTTAGGAATGGATGACCCACTTCAAATCTTCCAAAATCGACCAACTATGCAATCCGAGCCTCAAGGGTGACACATGTCGAAATGAACTTCAAATCTTCAATTCTTACATGATTCTTCAATTTGGGCTCTAGGATGTGAGGCCATACGAACCGAGCATCAACGAATGATTAAGAGCTTCTCAAACTCCAAATAATCACCCTAAAGTTGAGCATAAAAACACACCCCAAAAATCTTCAATAATTCCAAACCCATGATGAACCGAAATCACTTTCGAATCTCCAATCGCATCATTTCATAAACTTCAAAAATTCAAGGTCACTTCGGTCTTCAAGTTCGTTTAATATTAAAAAATTCAACTTCGAATTTCCATATAAATTTCTCCCACTTTTTATAATCGAAATTTGATTATAAAACCATCAAGGAAAAAGAACGTGCTCTATTCAGAATTTTTCGTGTCAAATTTCCCCCTTAACATGTGGCATAAACTTTGTGCTTTAATCTAGAAAATCCAAAAAATCTTCAATTTTTAGCTTTGTTCACGGACCGCCTTTGATAAAATTTCTCAAAAATGGGTAGAAATTGTCAATTTCAAAATTCTGCAGTGACTCGATGCGCGTAAAACAACCAAATCTGCGAAACTCTCCCTCTTTTTCGAAGCTGGGTAGAAAGTGTCAATTCGCATAAACTGCAGGTGCCTGAAATGCATATTCTTCAATTTCTCAGCAAAATCAGTCCATTTTCGAATTTAGGCAAACACTGCCAAATTTCCGAAAATCCAAGGACTGATTTCGAAAGTGCTGCCTTTTGTGCTCCAAATATTCGAAATTTTGACAAACTTTCGAAAATTACCCCAACGTACGAAAGTGGGTAAAAATTGCTAAATTGTCGAAATTTCAGG